TATTAGATAGTGAACTGCTGGTGGTCATTCAATCATTTTTATGGAATTTTTGTAAAGAAAATTTGAAATATGTCTTATTAAAGATGGGATAGGATTTTTTTCTATTTGATGAGTAAAATTTCATTGCCTAGACATGCAGTATTGTAACATGTTAATGTTATCATCTTTTGAAAATAATCGTCATAGCGAACCGGGGGCAAGCTGTTTCTTTGAGACTTTGGGAGCTAATGATTATTAAAAGTTGCTTACAGAGATAAAATGTAACTTCAGGGTATATTTATTTTTATGTCATTAAAATCTATGCTCCTTTGAAACCAATATTAGTGTTCATTCAAGAGAAAAGCATGAATTAACTTTATATTAAACATCTGCTCAAAAGACAATACAGACTGAATTTTATTGGAATTTTCATATGTTGTATTTCTCATCATAGAGTGGACGGCCAAGAACTTAATAATGCAAATCTTTGTTTAAATACAAGTGACTCCCTACAAAGCCTGTTTTGAATATTAATGGAATTTATTATCTGCCTGCTCAGTGCAGTTACTGTGGTTTGGAATAACAGTTAATAATGAAAGACTGAGGTAGATTTTAAATATAGTGTGTTTATGTTTGATAATACAAATTAATTCAATTATACAAAAAAAATCAGTGAGAAAATATTGTGGAGACCATGCCTTCTCCCTTTTTTCTCTTCAAGAAATGCTTGTCTTGTGAATGTATTTTATTGTCATTTTCTTATCACAGAAAAATAGACTGGTATGTTTGAGAAGAACCATCAATTTCCCCAAACTATTGGGTTGGTCAAAAAGTTCATTTGGTTCTTTCCATACGATGGCTCTAATAGGGGTTAGTTGTGTTTAATTTAATTTGAAACAATTTTGCTTATTGCATTGTGACAGCTGTCATATTAATGTGCATTAAAAAAATCAAAATTGGTGAATTTTGTGTAGCCATTTTAATATTGAAGATGGAAGAAAATAAGCCACATTGTTGGCCACATTATGCTTTATTATTTCAAGAAAGGTAAAAATGTAACTGGAACTCAAAAAACGTTTCATGCAGTGTATGGAGATGGTACAGTGTCTGATCGAAATGTCAAAATGGTTTGCAAAGTTTCATGCCAGAGATTTCTCACTGGATGATGCTCCACAGTCAGGTAGACCAGCTGAAGTTGATAGTGATCACCTCGAGCCATTAATTGAAGACAATCGATGTTATACTATGTGAGAAATATCTGACATACGCAAAATATCCAAATCAATAAAGTTATTGGTGAAAATGAAAAATGTGCCTTTTGTTTTATGAAAAAAATTAGGTGGCCTTTTTTGCCAAGTCAATTGAAACAAATCTCGTGTTGCTCAAGTTATTTTCTATCGAGAAACTGGGACATTACATGAGGGGTGGAATTGCTTGAAGCCAACTCCTTCCCAAGGACTTCAGATTTGCTTTGAAGTATGGAATATTCTTTCTTTCAGAGTTTGAATGATTCCATGTCTTGACAAAAAGAATACTTCAGAGCCCAGTGGTATCACAATGCTTTATGGTGATCTTATGAGCACAGAGCAGAGCTGCTGGTCTGGGTAGAGAGGCAGGAGGCCATGTGAGATCTTCTGTGTCCCTTGTCCCATAACCTCGGGGATACTTGGCAGCCTTTCCCCCAGAAGCCTTACAGTTTCATGGAGAGTAGTTTAAAACCTCCTTTATAGAAAATAGAAGTTGTATGTGTGAAAACAATCCATGTAAACATCACATATTCATCTATCAATCTTTTGAGAAGCTTTACCTGTTTAATAAGCTTAAACTGAATGAATATATATGGCACATCTGTATTTTAGTGTGTGTGAACGTATTTTAAATATGAATATATTGTGTAAGATGTGTATTATAATAACATATGTGTGAATATATATGAGATCATCTCTGTCCCCAGACAGGGAGATTTCTACCCCTGGATGTGAGACCACTTCTTGCACCTTTATAAAGTGCCTTTGGATGCTGCATGCGGAGAAGCCATCATAGGATTGATCATTCTCCACGCACGCTGTCATTGTACATGCATTTAAAAGACTGTTGGTAACACCCTAAGTCTCTAATAGTTGCTGTAGCACTAATATTGCTTTATTATTAATTCTTTTTCATAGTAGCACTATAATTAGTATGATTACTTACCCCACACCTTATTATGGCATATACTTATAGCCAGATTCCTGGAAGTATCATATTTAATAGTTTAGATTATTTAAACTCCTTTACTATTTGTAATATAATATTTTATCACAATACCAAAAAAACCACACAGGTATTTTTATGTCTTTAGAAAAAGTTACTGGGCACTGCCCAGTATTTCTTTTCTAGAGAACCACAGTATAAAACCCACTGTCTCTGGGTACATTCTACTAGCAAAAGGTAACTTTCAGAATTTAAAAAAATCTTGAATTTGCTTACTTCCCAGTCCAATAGTAGAGCCAGTGATACCAACATAATTTGCTTCCATCTGGGTCCCTTCCATAGTGCAGTATTTCCCACGAAAAGTGTTATTCTAAAGTTGTTTGCCCTCCCAGTGATTTTCTAAGGTTTAAATAACAAAAGGGAATTATAAGCAGACATTTCAGTTCATACACCAATTTAGGTCAGTTCATGTTTTATTTTATAAAGCAGCGCTGAAAAAATTCATTTTTATTTTCAGTTCAATTTACAATGAGTAATTGTGCTGTTTATTTCATAATCTTACCTGGAAATGACAAGGTGAAAAGCGCATAGATCATGTGCCTAAGGTCTACAGCTGAGTGTAATTATCAGAGTTGAATAGATCAGTTAGAGCTGAAAAGATCAGAAGAACAAAAGCAAAATCCAACTGCATAAACCCGATAGTCATGGCAATGCTTTCACTGCACAAAAGATGAGAATATTTCTTAATATTGACAATACTGCTGGGTCCTTAAAGCAAATTTATTTCATTTTTCCTCTTTTTCTATTACTTGATACCACACAAAAAAAAGTATCTGAAAAGTTACTAGTTTTCCTAAACATACACTCTAAATTTAAGACAAAAATACTAAGAATTCACTAGACATCTGTGTATAATTATTATTTTTTTTTAAAAAAAAGGAAAAAAGAAAAGATGAAGAATGCATTCAGCAAGTGATGTATGAAGCCTGTCCATAAAGTATCCAGCCATGTACTATGAAAACTAGAGACATTTATTGAAGAAGATACAAGAAACATTCTAGTAGGACAATGACACCTCATTCCCCTTCAAAGTAGGCACCTGGGAACCTCACACAGTTCTCCCAATTGCCATCACTTGCCCTGTAATATTTTCCTGAATCTGCTAAACAGTCTGAAATCTCTTCCCTTGCAAAGGTGATTTTAGTTTTGGAAAAATCCAGAAGTCCCAGGGTGTCATACCAGGCCATAGGTGGGCTGAGTCACCTGGGTGATTTGATGTTTTGCTAAAAATACCCTGCATAAGACATGATGCATGCATGGGCCTGTTGTGATGAAGCTGCCAATCACCAGCTACCCACAGCTGCAGCCCCCTGAATAGTTTCCCAACAGTTTTCAGGGAGGAATGTCCAAGCTTAATGCAAAAATTGATGCAGATTTGTTGCTCTACTCGCTCGGTCATTTTGAATGCGGTGGCCACACAGTGCACATGCTCAACGACTCAATGGCATCTAACACCCCCACTGACTAGTGCAACAAAGTCATCATTGTTCACACGTGCACATTCCAGTCCACTCTCCTCGTTTGCCAGATTACACCAATGTTGCACAAATAGCTCATTATGTTAGCAATAGTTGGACTTTTTCTGGACAGATGTCATATGTTGTATATATTTTAGATTTTATAAAAACACAGCTGAAGAAAAATCATTCAATTTGTTTTCCTATTGAAAATATATACAATTTTGTGCACATTTCTATTTCAGTGTCCTTACACTTGACATGGTTGGAAGTTTTGAAGCACAGTTTGTAGACAGTAGTAACTGGAATTTAGGAAAGGAAAAACAAACCTCAGGGCCTGGGTCATTCAAGTCTTTGTCAAGTTATTGTGATGTGCGTAATGGGCCTTTGGTGGAGTTGGCATGCAATACATTTTGCTGTAATCATAAAAATGGAGGGAAAGAGGCAGGCAGGAATGCAAGGAAGAAAGGGGGAGAGCGAAATTGGGAGAAAGGGAAATTAGGGGAGAGGGAGTAAGTGTAAGAGCAAGAGCTGACTGCAAAAAAAAGATTTCAAGAAAGCCAACTTTTGCAAATGTTTTGTTGCAAATTATAATTTCTCTTTATGTAATATTTTAGGCCTAGCTAGTTCTTTTTTTAAAAAATTTTAACATAACATTCATCCTCCCAACAATTTGTAAGTGTACAGTCAAATATTGTCAACCATGTGCGTGTTGTGGTCCAACAGACTCCCCTATCCTGCAGGACTGAAACTCTACACCCAGTGAGCAACTCCCCACCTTCCCCAACCCCAGCCTTTTACAACCACCTTTCTATTTCTGGTTTTGTTTGACTACCTTAGATACCTCATAAGTAGAACCATGCAATTTTTGTTTTTCTGTTATTGGCTTATTTCACTTGGTATTATGTCCTCAAGATTCATCCATGTTGTAGGATATGACAAAGATTCCCTCTTTCCTTAAGTTTGGATAATAATCCATTGTATTTATAACATATTTTTATTCATCTGTCAACAGAAATTTAGTTTGCTTCCACCTCTTGGCTATTGTGAACAACTCTCTTCATATAACTTTAAATTTATTTGGAAATTGTAAATTGCTCCATCTCCAGTGTGTCTCACATTGTTGCTTTGCTTTCCTTTTTTTTTTTTTAAACAAAGTTGTTGGAAATGTGCATATGTGCTGACTTAATGTTGACTAGTGTATTTTTTCCTTATTCAATGCAGATGTGTAGATAACAATATGATAGTCCTGTTCAAGGTAAAAAAAAAAAATACAGGGTTCTGGTAAATAATGGAATGTTGTCATTGTAGGACAAGTCTGCTCCAGCTGACAAACAGTGCAAACCAGAGGCGGCCCAGGCCACTTACTCAACCTCAGCAGTTTCAGGCTCACAGGAGGTGTTGTACATCAACGGAAATGGGACCTACAGTTACCATAGTTACAGAGGGCTAGGAGGAGGACTGCTGAATCTGAATGATGCTTCCAGTAGTGGTGAGTCTGTATTATATATTGTGGGGTTTTTTTTGTCCATTTGCCAATAGTCAATTCTCTAAACCTGACAGAGGATGAATAATACTGTTATAAGCAATAGTCAGTGCCAATCTGCTAAAAACAAGACTGTTTAATATAGAACATCCATCTCCCTGCAAGGACATCTCCGTATTGTGTTGCTGTTTCTGAAAGTAAGTGCACTGTTATGCAACTGAATGATTGCTGTTTTATATTTAAAAAATTCTCAACTAGAGAAATAATTTTTTTTTACCAAATAGTTATACATTCTTCCCCCCAAAGCTGTAATGTACTACTCTTCATTGTTTAGTTTTTAATTTGGAAAACTGGAGGCCCAGGAACTTTACTGATTTGATGAAACACACATACACAGTCCTTGTACTTAAGAACATCCAAACTGAAACCACACACGGAAACAACCCGTGGCTCCCCAGCCAACAGCTCGCCGATGACAATGACATGCTTGCCTGCAGTGGGGACAGGGTGCTGGGGCCAGCTCATGCCGGCTCACGCTTGGTAAACTTTTAGGAATTTCTTAAGTTTATATGTAGAATGAATTCCAAAAGTATCATACAAAACTACATGTATATTAGGCATAAATGCATAGGTGAATTCCTTATAACTGGGTCCTAAACGATACTTAAAATCCAGGGAAAATGAGTTTCATTACAAACACATACCTTTTTTTTATGACAAAGTACATAATAAGCAAAGTAAAAAAAATGATAAACTAAAATTTATTAGCTACTACAAAGGATTAATAGGTCAAGGCTTGAGGGTCTTCTAAGGAAAAGACTCAAAATTATACATTAAAAAAAAATAAGGCTAGAAATATGAATGCTCAGTTCCCAGAAAAAGCAGTGTAAATGTCCCTTAAATGCACGTAAAGTTACTCAAGTCCATTCATGCCTAATAAGAGAAATGCATCCTCTAACTATCAGGTTAGCAAAAATCAAAATGTTTCAACAATATGCTTTTGACAAGGCTGTGGGAGATATCAGTACTCATCTATTGCTTGTAGAAATGTAAAAAGTTGGAGAGGAATTTGATAATATCTAGCAAAATTACACATGCATTTACCATTTGACCCCGCAATCTCTTTAGGAATCTTTTACTAAGAATCTATCTCAAAGACACACTGGCAAAAACACAAAAAGACATACACATGGCTATTCATTTCAGTGTTTTTTATAAATTCAGAAAAGGGATAACCAATAAAACTGTCCATCAATAGGTGGCTAGTTGATTCAATTACAGTGTATCCAAACAAGAGAGTAACATGTAGCTATAAAAAGTAATGAAAAATATCTTTATATACTGCAGGTGATAAAAAAAACTTATGCTAATATTCACCAAAGAAGGATTTATATAATTTTTTTAAAAGTTTACATAGAGGCAAGGATGGGGGAGAACAGTATGGGGAAAGGAATATAAGCCAGAATTACCTGCTTATACTTGGTTTTTAATATTTTGTTTTGTAAATTTGACTTTGGAACAATTTACATATTTATATAATTAGGAAAGAAACTGATTTTAAAAATCCCTAATATTGAAAGAAAAATGATGCAAATGAACTCTATCATTAGATAGTTTAATGAGTGGTTGGCAGAGCACCATATAAAGGAAGGAACTTTTCCAAGTGATTTCAAAGATCATACTCCACTGTATGCAAGCATATGATAACTCCTTAGTTATTTTCAGTAATCATATTATTTTGCGACTTGTCTGTGTATTGTGGTTTAAAGCAAATTTATAATTATGTTGGTTATCAGTGAAAGCTGGGATTTTCAGCAGAGGGGCAAAGTAGATACATATGTAAACTCAGTGAGTTTAGCAAAAAACTGCACAGTCTTGTATTTATACTATCAGTAAGAACTGGTATTTCCTATCAGTTTCCACTGAAAGTGCCTGAAAACAAAGACCAATCTGAATTCGAAAAGTTGAATTAGGCTTGGTGGGATTTTGATATATTTGGGAGGGAACTGCATTATTAGTGTTCAGGGGTGATTCTGCTGGAAAGCTGGGTTCTTAGGTCTGCCCTAGAATTAACGGTCCCCTAAGGACAGGAGCCCGGAGCTCTGTAGTGTATATCTGTTGCCTTTCAACTCAAAAAAAGTGGTGCCTCAAGTGGAAGAGAAAAAACGAAGGAGCTTATTTTGGGAAGAAATTTAGTTTCAAGTGCATATTCAGTTTTTCAAAAGCTAGTGAGCTTTCTCAGCTGTTTTCCAGTGTTATTTTTATTTGAACGGCACATCAGCAGGCAAGAGCAAATCTAAGATCAGAAAAGGAAAACATAAACAAAGCCTAAGCATTCTTTCAGCCTATAAAGCTGGAAACTCTAATATTTTAAAAAATATTTTACATATGAAGGGAGACCTGATAGATAGCTTACTTAACCTCCAAATCAAAATAAATAAATAAATAAATAAAGTGGTGGGGGGAGAGTATAGTCAAAAGATTTTGACACTATTTTTTTTTGTTATCTAGCTTTAAAAAATCATTCATCTATTAATTTATTTAACATAAACATAACAGTAACTACTACTTATTGAATACCTCAGCATAATCTCCCATTTAATCCTTACACAGTCTTATGAGATATGTCTTGGAATTTGGAGGAAATTTTTATAAAATTAAACTTCCCTTCACTTTAGAAAATAAGCCCAGGCATCACTTCCTTTTTTTCCTAACACGATTAAAATTTGTTTTGTGAGACTCAGAGAGGTTGGGTGACTCACCCAAAGCCCCTCCTTAACAAAAGGAGGATCCAGGATTTGAACACAGGCATTCTGACATCAAAATCCACATTGTAAGCTACTGAGCTAATAATGTGTATAATGGATGCAAGTACTAAAGTATGGTCAAGTGATTGTGCCTGGTAAGCACTAATATACTGTCTCCAGAAACTTGCCTACTCTGAACATTTCATATAAATAAATGGATCACACAATAAATTATCTTTTATGTCTGTCTTCTTTCACTTAGCATATTTTCAAGGTTCATCTATGTTACAGTATGTATCAATACTTCATTCTTTTTTATTGCCAAATAATGTTCTCTTTACAGATATGCTATATTTTGTTTAGCCACTCATCAGTTGATGGGCACTGGGATATTATTCACTTTTAGGTTACTATGAATAATGCTGCTATAAACCTCTTTTAAACCTGTATTATATATAATATATGTAATGAATGTTCTGTGTATGTACTTAAAAATGGAATTGTTGGTTCATACATGTGGTAACTGAGTTTAAAATTTTGAGGAAATAACAGACTGAACATGGTATGTCTTTACATTTATTTCATTCTTTTTATATTTCTCTCAACTATGTCTCATAGTATTTACAGTAGAAGCTTTACTCTTCTTTTATTAATTTTATTGCTAAATATTTTCTTTTGTGATGCTATAGTAGATGTACTGTTTTTCTTAAAATGTTATTCTACATTTAAAAAAAATTTTTGGAAGAGTTTGTGAAGTATTGGTATTCATACTTTAAATGTTTGGTAGAATTCAGGAGTGATGCTGTCTGTGCCTGGGTTTTTCTGGGAGGTGTTTCTTAAATCTTTTTTTTTATTATTATTCTATTAGAGTTGTTTCAATTTTTCCTCCTTTACCCTCCTCCACCCAGTCCATATCCTGCTCCATAGTCAATCCCCCCTACTGGTGTCCATGTCCATGGGTCATTCATACATGTTCCTTGACTAGTCCCTTCCCCTTCTTTCCACCAATATCTCCCTCCCCCCACCCCTCTGGTTACTGTCAGTCTGTTCCATGTTTCCATGCCTCTGGTTCTGTTTTGCTCATTAGTTTATTTCGTTCATTAGATTCCTCTTATAAGTGAGATCATATGGTATTTTGCCTTTCACTGACTGGCTTTTTTCACTTAGCTTAATAGTCTCCAGCTCCATCCATGCTGTCTCAAAAGGTAGGAGCTCCTTCTTTCTTCCTGCTGTGTAGTATTCCATTGTGTAAATATACCACAGTCTCTTCAATAAATGGTTTTTGGAGGTCTGGGAGGTTTTTGATTACTAACTCAACCACTTGTTCTAAGGTCTACTTGTATTGTCTGTTTCCTTTTGAGTTAGTTTAGGTAGTTTGTGTATTTCCAGGATAGGTCCCTTTCAATAAACTACCTAATTTATTGGCACAACTGTTCAAAATATTCCTTTGTAATCCTTTTTATTTGTGGAAGGTCAATAGTGATGCACCCTCTTTCATTTCTAATTCTAGTCATTTGAGTGTTCTCCCTTCTTGGTGATACACTAGCTAAAGGTTTGTCAAATGTCCTGACCTTTTCAAAGAACAAGCTTTGGTTTCATTGATTTTCTCTATTGTTTTCTATTCCCTATTTCATTGATTCCTATTCCCATGTATATTATTTCCTTCATTTTGCTTACATTTAGTTTGCTCTTATTTTCCAGTGTCTTAAGATGAAAAGTTAAGATGTTAGTTTGAAGGCTTCTTTTCTCTTTATACATAGGCATTTACAACTATAAACTTCCTTTTTATCTGTATCATATAAGTTTTTGTATGTTGTATTTTCATTTTCATTCACCTCAAAATAATTTCTAATTTTCTTTATCATTTCTTTTTAGACCCATTGGTAATTTATAACTATGTAGTTTAATTGCTACATACTTGTGAATTTCCCAAATTTCTTTCTGTTAATGATTTCTAGTTTTATTCCATTGTGGCCAGACAACATACTTCATGTAATTTCAATCCTTCCAAGTTTATTGAAGCATGTTTTATGACCTACATCATGCTCTATCCTGGAGAGTATGTAATACATACCTCAGAATAATGTATATTCTGGTGCTGGTGGTGGGGCATTTTATAAATGTGTACTCAGCCTAGTTGGTTTATAGTGTTAAGACTCCTATATTCTTGCTGATCATCTGCCTAGTTTTTATAGTCATTATTGAAAGAAAGGTATTGAACTCTTCAAGTACTACTGTTGAATTGCTTACTTTTGCCTT